AAACTGAAATTGACCAATTCTATGAAGACTTACAACACCTTATAGAAGTGACATCAAAGAAGGATGTTCTTCTCATTATAGGGGACTGGAATGCTAAAGTAGGGAATCAAGAGATAAAAGGAACAACTGGCAAGTTTGGCCTTGGAGATCAAAACGAAGCAGGGCAAAGGCTAATAGAGTTCTGTCAAGAGAACAAGCTGGTCATCACAAACACGCTTTTCCAACAACACAAGAGACGACTCTACACATGGACATCACCAGATGGGCAGCATCGAAATCAGATTGATTATATTCTCTGCAGCCAAAGATGGAGAAGCTCTATACAGTCAGCAAAAACAAGACCTGGAGCTGACTGTGGCTCAGATCATCAGCTTCTTATAGCAAAATTCAAGCTTAAACTGAAGAAAGTAGGAAAAACCACTGGGCCGGTAAGATACAATCTAAGTCAAATCCCTTATGAATACACAGTGGAAGTGAGGAACAGGTTTAAGGATTTAGATTTGGTGGACAGAGTGCCTGAAGAACTATGGATGGAGGCTCGTAACATTGTACAGGAGGCAGCAACGAAAACCATCCCAATGAAAAGGAAATGCAAGAAAGCAAAGTGGCTGTCCAACGAGGCCTTACAAATAGCGGAGGAGAGAAGGCAAGCAAAATGCGAGGGAGATTGTGAAAGATACAGGAAATTGAATGCAGATTTCCAAAGAACAGCAAGGAGAGACAAGAAGGCCTTCTTAAACGAGCAATGCAAACAAATAGAGGAAAACAACAGAATGGGAAGAACCAGAGATCTGTTCAAGAAAATTGGAGATATGAAAGGAACATTTCGTACAAAGATTACCATAATAAAAGACAAAAGTGGAAAGGACCTAACAGAAGCAGAAGACATCAAGAAGAGGTGGCAAGAATACACAGAGGAACTATACCAGAAAGAAATGGATGCCTCGTACACCCTAGGTAGTGTGGTTGCTGACCTTGAGCCAGACATCCTGGAAAGTGAAGTCAAATGGGCCTTAGAAAGCACTGCAAATAACAAGGCCAGTGGAAGTGATGGTATTCCAGCTGAACTATTTAAAATTTTAAAAGATGATGCTGTTAAGGTGCTACACTCAATATGCCAGCAAATTTGGAAAACTCAGCAGTGGCCAGAAGATTGGAGAAGATCAGTCTACATCCCAATCCCAAAGAAGGGCAGTGCCAAAGAATGCTCCAACTACCGCACAATTGCACTCATTTCACACGCTAGCAAGGTTATGCTTAAAATTCTACAAGGAAGGCTCAAGCAGTATGTGGATCGAGAACTCCCAGAAGTGCAAGCTGGATTTAGAAGAGGCAGAGGAACCAGAGACCAAATTGCAAACATGCGCTGGATTATGGAGAAAGCTAGAGAGTTCCAGAAAGACATACACTTCTGCTTCATTGACTATGCAAAAGCCTTTGACTGTGTCGACCACAGCAAACTATGGCAAGTTCTTAAAGAAATGGGAGTGCCTGATCACCTCATCTGTCTCCTGAGAAATCTCTATGTGGGACAAGAAGCTACAGTTAGAACTGGATATGGAACAACTGATTGGTTCAAAATTGGGAAAGGAGTACGACAAGGCTGTATTTTGTCTCCCTGCTTATTTAATTTATATGCAGAATACATCATGCGAAAGGCTGGGCTGGATGAATCCCAAGCTGGAATTAAGATTGCCAGAAGAAATATCAACAACCTCAGATATGCAGATGACACAACCTTGATGGCAGAAAGTGAGGAGGAATTAAAGAACCTTTTAATGAGGGTGAAAGAGGAGAGCGCAAAATATGGTCTGAAGCTCAACATCAAAAAAACGAAGATCATGGCCACTGGTCCCATCACCTCCTGGCAAATAGAAGGGGAAGAAATGGAGGCAGTGAGAGATTTTACTTTCTTGGGCGCCATGATCACTGCAGATGGTGACAGCAGCCACGAAATTAAAAGACGCCTGCTTCTTGGGAGAAGGGCAATGACAGGCCTAGACAGCATCTTGAGAAGCAGAGATGTCACCTTGCCAACAAAGGTCCGTATAGTTAAAGCCATGGTCTTCCCAGTAGTGATGTATGGAAGTGAGAGCTGGACCATAAAGAAGGCTGATCGCCGAAGAATTGATGCTTTTGAATTATGGTGCTGGAGAAGACTCTTGAGAGTCCCATGGACGGCAAGATCAAATGCATCCATTCTTAAGGAAATCAGACCTGAGTGCTCACTGGAAGGACAGATCGTGAAGCTGAGGCTCCAGTACTTTGGCCACCTCATGAGAAGAGAAGACTCCCTGGAGAAGACACTGATGCTGGGAAAGATGGAGGGCACAAGGAGAAGGGGGCGACAGAGGACGAGATGGTTGGATAGTGTTTTTGAGGTTACCAGCATGAGTTTGACCAAACTGCGGGAGGTAGTGGAGGACAGAGGTGCCTGGCGTGCTCTGGTCCATGGGGTCACGAAGAGTCGGACACGACTAAACGACTAAACAACAACAACAACAACAACCCATATGCACAGAATATCCTTTCAAAGCCCTAAACAGTTTAGGCTACCTGAAGGATGGCTTACACCACTGACCCCGCTTGTGATCTGAAGTCAACATCTGAGGTCCTGCTTGGGCGCTCACTGGAAACATCAGCTGGTAAGTACATGAAGTTGTGTTGGTCCTGCATTGTGCAACTCTTTCCCAATTAGAATCCACTTGGCCCCTTCATTTCTGTCATTAGGGCAGGCCTTTATTTAAGGAGAGAAGAGGAGCTTTGATAGTGCCTTTTCTTAAGTGGGCTTAGGTGATCTAATTAGGTTACTCCCATGCATCTATTTGTCTGTATCCACTCAGTGCTTCACATTCTGCCAGGTGTTGTATTATTTTTACCAGGTCTTTTTTCAGCAAGAACTCAGTTCTGGTACCTCTCAGGTGGGCACCATTACTAAGGAACAATGGAGGCATTCATGGTGAGTTCCAGCACCTCTTTTTCTAGAAAACAGCAATGATTTTTACTTGGTCTTTCACTGGTAAGAGTATAAATCCCAAGAGGTCACGGTTCAAAAAGCAAGGAGGTCGGCATAGTTTTTGGCATATGTGCAGGAAAAGAACTTATCTGAAAATGCGGGAACGAACCTCGCCACTGCAGAAAGTCAGTTTTCACTGGAAACAAAAAACCTTGATGGAAAATGTGGCAGAGAAATGACTGACAAAGGAACTCCTCAATTCACAGCCGTTTTGCCTACTTGCAACTATTTCTCCTGAAAATGCTTATTTGAAACTTGCCAGAAACAAAAACATCACTACAGCACCATCCAGTGGCTAAAAATATGCACACACACAAAATGATGGGCAAGAACCACAAAGCAGAGGGGATGTGTGTCAATTTCTTACATCCAGTGCTTTTTTTTCTGGGGGGGATGCAAGGGTACACATACCCCTAAACATTTTATGAATCTAAGTTTGGCCTCATTGAGAGGCAGTATTTCAATATGAGTAGGAAAATGAGAGTACCCCCTAAACATATTTTTAGATAAAAAAGCACTGCTTACATCTGTTCCTGTAACAGTAGCAGTAAGTACCACCACCACAATAATGAGAGGGAATCATGGTTTGGATATACAGTGGTACCTTGGTTCTCGAAGGGTTTGGCTCCCTAACAAATCGGCTCCCAAATGCTGCAAACCCGGAAGTGTTCCAGTTTGCAAATGTTTTTTGGAAGCTGAACATCCGACACGGCTTCTGCTTTACTGCAGGAGCTTCCTGCAGCCAATCAGAAGCCACAGCTTGGTTTTCAAACCGTTTTGGGAGTCAAACGGACTCCCAGAAAGGATTACGCTAAGTTCGGAACCAAGGTACCACTGTAAAAAGGTAAAGGTAAAGGGACCCCTGACTGTTAAGTCCAGTCGTGGACGACTCTGGGGTTGCAGCACTCATCTTGCTTTACTAGCCGAGGGAGCCAGCATTTGTCCGCCCAGTTTTTCCGGGTCATGTGGCCAGCATGACAAAGCCGCTTCTGGCGAAACCAGAGCAGCACAGGGAAACGCCGTTTACCTTCCTGCTGGAGTGGTACCTATTTATCTACTTGCACTTGACGTGCTTTTGAACTGCTAAGTGGGCAGGAGATGGGACCAAGCAACAGGAGCTCACCCCATCACGGGGAATCAAACTGTTGACCTTCTGATCGCCAAGCGCTAGGCTCTGTGGTTTAGGCCACAGTGCCACCTGCATCCCTCAGGTACCACTGTATTCATAGCTAAAGCTTATGGAATGGAAACGAGCAGATGAAGGGATAAGGAGAAGTAACTAGAACAACCTGTGGCCTTTAAGATGTTGATGAACCATAATTCCCATCACCCTTGATCACTGGTTGGGGCTAGTCTCCCGTTTCAATTACGGTGCTGTTTTTAATGAGGTTGTTTTATTGCATGTTTTAATTACAGGTGCTTATATTTTAATATTTTAAACACACACACAAATATACCCTGCCTCCCATCAAACTTTCACAGTACAAAAAGTGATGAGAAATGACTCGGAAATGTGAGATAAGAATTGCTTGATACTTACTGAGCATTCATTCCAATTTGTTTATAACACACAATATGACTCCTGCACAGACTTTAGCAGGCATCTACACTATGACTTTAAAGCACATCCAATGCACGTTTAAAGCATGTGGCTCCCCTGCAAAATAATATGGGAACTGTAGTTTCCTGCTAACATTGCTACAATTCCCAGCCCCCTTAACAAATTACAGTTCCCAGGATTCTTTAGGGGAAGTCATGTGCTTTAAATGTGTGTTGGATATGTTTTAAATGTATAGTGTGGGGCTGCACTTTTCTTTGCCAGGCACACCAAGGAACAGGGAGGCTGTTAGGACTCCAACTCCCATCAGCCTCAGCTAGCAAGGCCAGTGGTCGGGGATGATGGGAACTGTAGATCGGCCACATCTGGAAGGTGCAAGCTTTGCCACCCATGCCACAGTAGTTCTCATATTGATCAAGCCTCATGTTATTTTATTCTAGTGTATCTTTAATGAAAGCAGAAAGGACCCTCTTTTCTTTAAATTCAGTGGACGAGCTTCTTTAGAGCAAATGAATACAGCAGTTAAAGTGGCCTTCAGCAACATGGTGCATCATAACGGGGGGTGGGCTTGGGCTGTGATCTTCGATGTGGGCGTTACAAGCAGGTCCTGGTTTTCATCTGTGAACTGTTGGCAGGTTGTATAAGCAATCTTTCCTTTAAGCAGTAGATAGAGCTGCATGATGTACTTCCGGGTCATTTTCTGCAGAAAATTGCCAATCCGTGATTGGTTTGCACTGAAGGCTTGACTAGCTGAACTCAGACTTGATGTTCACATTAACATGAAAGCTGGTAACGTCATGAAAGTCACAAAGATTGAAAACATCTGACTTCTGAAGACTGCAGGTGGATTCAGATAACCTGTTACAAACTCATGGGGACAGGGTAGATATAATACAACCCAACTATGGTATGATATCAGTATTTCCCTCATCTTTTCTCCTTGGATCATCTCCTTTAGCTGTGATTCCTGCTTTGCAAGGGGTTGGATTAGATGACCCTTGGGTCCCCTTCCAGGTCTGTGATTCTATTATTCCTCCTCTCAGTTTCAGAGCCAACTGTGCGAAAATTCACTCAACCCTAACTGAGCAGTTACATAAGAGGGTTAGCCCAAAGTACAGTATGCAACCGCAGCTGGAAGCAGGGGTTACGCATGAAATTATGCTAACCCCATCTGTCACGTTAAAAGCTCAGCAGATGCTGGCACTTAGCACTTCTTTCGCAGACAACCACACGCAACATGTGGACATTGGAATGCAGTGCTAGCCCTTAGGGTGAAGGGCAGGTAAGAGGTCAAAATCAAATAATGTTAAAGTCAGGGCAAGGGCTCTAAGAGCTCTACAGGTGAATAATGCATGAATAAGGCTCATGCCTACTGCTAATATATATTTAACAGAAACAGTTTTCATAAGAGATCTTACTAATCTTTATTGAGCTTCCACTTCAGGTACTTATATAGGCTTAATGCTGATTTCTGGTAACTTGCAACTTACACTTATTTATGTGCTCACAGCTTTAAGCACGTTGCCAAAAATAACAATAGTAAATTAAAAATGATGCAGAAATGGCACACACGAGTGAAAAAATGAAAGCCAGCAGCCTTCACTGAGTGTGTTTGGGTGAAGAGGCAGATGAAGAGGGTGCGGAGGAGGCCATGGAGACGAGTAATTTTTTTAATGGTTTTTAAGGGGTGTTCTGGCTTTATGTGATTTTGCTTATGCGCACGACAGCCAGGAATGTAATCCCTGGCATGTTAAGTTGCAAGTTACCTGTATGTTATAGCCCCCGTTATCAAATCCTATTCCCCCAAGCATTTTCTTATCCAAATGGATACTGTCTGCTAAATGGTTTATGGCAAAGTAACCTCAAGAAAACTCAACACTGAAACATAATCAAAAGTCTAAAACCTGAATGACATTGTGCCCTATTTGAAATAGGGCTGAGCAAAGAAGTGCGTGTTTAGAGGTGGGCAGGAGGGGGGATTTTTGCTACTGCTTGCTTCCTGGACCACTAAGGCCATGTCAAAGCTACAGGTCAGTGAATTGGTTTTCTTTTGCTGCAAAGCAGACCATAATTTAATTTCATTTGCCACTGCAAGCACACATGTATGTTGAAATTATATATACAGGAGTAGTTTCAAATGTGTGAGCTTCCTTTTCCAGCTGATTTATTCAAATGCCAATTACTTTGTCCAAGAATGCAGCAAATTTTTCTGGCTGTCCAGGAGGAAAAGGCTTCAGGGTTGAAAAGTCTGATGTTTGAAGTGTCTTCAGAAGGGTCCTATAGAAAAATAACCCAAAAAAAACACCCCACACACAAAAATTACGATTTTGGAAGAGGTAGTTCATTCAGTTCTTTTACCCTTATAAATAGCCCTGCAAGATACAACAGATTACATTATAGTGACTTGCTCAAGATTACCTGATGAGCTTCCTGGCTGAGCAAATGTTTACCGTATAAGACTCACTTTTTCCCTCCTAAAAACTAAGGGGAAATGTGTGTGCATCTTATGGAGCGAATGCAGGCTGCGCAGCTATCCCAGAAGCCAGAACAGCAAGAGGAATTGCTGCTTTCACTGCGCAGCAATCCCTCTTGCTGTTCTGGCTTCTGAGATTCAGAATATTTTTTTTTCTTGTTTTCCTCCTCCAAAAACTAGGTTCGTCTTGTGGTCTGGTGTGTCTTATAGAGCGAAAAATACGGTAATCCCTACACCAAGACTAGATCTACTACACCATGCTGGATCCCATGATCAATTTCACAAGCTTTCCATGAGCTGGATTTGCACATTACAGCAGATGTGCAGCTACCATTTTAAATAAATAAATAAATAAATAAATAAATAAATAAATAGTAGTCCTGCTTCCCTTCTTCCTAGTAAGAAGAGCCATGCCTGCAAGTTAGGGGGAATGAGATGCACATTGCTTTAAACAGCCTCTGCATCAGGTAACTCAAGAGCCAGTAAATAGGGTGATTAAGATCTGCAGCACTAAATTGATTCAACAGTTTTTGTAACTTTGTGTGGTGAACTGCCCTGAGACTTTTGGCTGTAGTACGGAATACAAATTTAATAATAAAGTAAGTAAGTTTGCAGGAAAGCTTGCAACGAAAACAGCGTTTAAAAAGATCCATACCTGCAAGTGCAGTAAAAGAGGTGGCCGTCCCTGCACAGCTGCCTTGCCAGTTCCAACTGGTGATTGTCCATAAGCTTGTCATTTACAACTACCAGTAGTGGCTTCCCTGCTTCCAATACTTCCAAGCAGCTACCAGCACCTGTAGTAGGAAAACAGCAGTGAAGAATAACTAAATTACCCACCCTTCACGCTAAGATCCCAGGGAAGGTGACAACAATCAAAGTACAATGCTAAAAACAGTTTACAACAACTTACAATCAGCGAAACAAGTGTTACATCTCAAGTGTCAAAAGCCAGGGCAAAGAGGTGTGTCTTCAGCAACAACATTCAATTTCACTTAGCAGTGAACAAGAATTCACCAGGGCTAGAAATGCATATCCAGCAACATCTACCTTTTGAGGGCTTTTGTTCCTCTGAAGCCTGCCCTTGTCAAACATCCATACTCTCATTTGATTTGATTTATTTAACATCACACTGAGGGGCATAAAACACATATTAAGGAAGCAATCCTGTGTTTGGTGGAAGGGTGGCTAAGAGCCCGTAAGATGCTGCAGACCTCCCTCTCTCCAGACAAAAGGCCCCTCAGAAGGGCACTGGGCCAGATCTGGGGAGGCCTTTGATTCACCAAATTAAAAGCCCCATGTTATCCTGACACAACACCAGAAAGGATGTGGAACTATGCCAGCCTTGGAACCCTCACTAATGTGGTGGTGAGGATATAGTGCAGTTGGTTTAACATCCCATATGTGGTGGGATATGTAAACATGTGCAGCCATTGTGGAAGAGTTTTAATGGAAATAAGCAATGCAGGTGACTCCCCTTTTATGCAGGGACTACGTTCTGGGCCCACACATGCATATGCAAAATTGAATAAAATATAGAGCACCCAGGAGAGTTCTCCTTGCTCAGGAGAAAACGCACCTCAGAGGCCTCTGAGGAGGATCTCCTTGCAAGTCAGAGGCTTGTTGAGAGTGCTTGGCTGACATGCAGGGAGGTTCATTATAGACTGCTCTATAAACAGAATATTAAGCCATCAAAATTAGGTCATGCAAGGGAAGACAAGTGATTTACACATGCAAGGGAAACACTTCTCTCCTGAAACCTCACTGACATTAGCCAAACAAAGCAAGCCATTTGGTTGAACTTGCCCTTTTGGAAGTCTGTGTTGATGCCAATCAAGACTTTTCTCATTGAAATAGAAGTTTTACCTGCATGACTTATGACTAGATCGGCTATTTGCACATCTTCAGAGAGTGAGTTCTTGAACCTGAACACTTCCAGGGTAAATGTAGGTGTGCTGGTTGAAACAGGGCAAACTGTGCCCCTGCCAACCTGAAGGACAAGTCTGCTGTAGCCAAGATCCTGTAAAACCTGTAGAGGGAAAGGAAATTACAATCAGACTTGGTACTGACTTAAGTTAAATGCAAGAATAGCACATCAGATGCTGCAAATGTGAGCTAATTTGCCCTCCAAGTACATAAAGCCCTGCCAGATGCAAAAATATATAGGAGCATTTGGCAACTTATCAGTGTGCTTCTATCTTCTTGGTGAGAGACAGTCTTTATGTTTAAACAGTAAAATGAAATTAGTGTACATCACGTATGATAAAACTGTCATTTGCATTAACCTTAATTAGGTACGTAATGCAATCTTGTATCTCTAACCCACATATTCAATATCATTTTCTGTGAATTAGTTACTGCTTGCCTTGGACTTTGTATTGCAAGCAGGGTGGCTGTGTAGGACTGGGACAATTTGTGTGCAAAAGTGCAAATTTCCCCATAATCCCACTACATTCTTAATGGTGGAGATTTTGCTGTAAAATTGTACTGATCTCTTACTAATCCTATGCAGAATTAAATTCCCTTAAACCCATTTATTCCACTAGGCTTTGGTGCATTCATCCCTGCATAGGTGGGAGGCTGCTGCTCGACCAGGCAGATTCATATTTAAATCAGGGGCCACACAAGCACACATAGGCTGATAATACACTTCTGATATTCCACCTGTATCTGTTAACTCCCATTAAAACAGAGATGGAAGACCTATGGCTGCCCAGATGTTGGACTGCAACTCCCATCAGCAGGCCCGTGAAGGAGGCAGCCAGGTACACTTGCCCTGGGCCTCAGAGGGCTAAGTCACCCACAGAGGCCCACCAGGGCTTTTGCAGTTTATTCTAAGACTCCTGCCCTGGGCCTCAGACAAGCTCTGCACAGGCTTGCCCATCAGCCCCAGCCAGAATGGTGTATGCCTGAGAATGATGGGAGCTGAAGCCCCCAGGGAAATCTGGAGGGTCACAGGATCCCCAGCCCTGCATTAAAACAATAAGAGTGCTTATTTCTGGTGATAAACGTGACGTGGATTGCACCACTGAGGTACATTCCACCAGCACTACCACCCCCCAAAAGTACAATGGGACCTGTTAAGGGTGCTCAGAGTTGCTAGAAGACCCCACTCCCATGTTCCCCCTCATGGACCTCCAATTTTTAGAGCGGTTTAGTAATACCCCCTACCCAGGAGGGGAATCTGCGAGGGGAATAGAGTGAACGTGTGTCTCCCAATAACTCTCGGCGCCCTTAACCAAACTGCTGCTTCCAAGACGTTTTGCGGAAAGAAGCTATGTCTGCTTATAATGTAAATGAACAGTGCTGTCTCCTCCATGGATCACTGTGGAATTTACTTCTGAGTAACCCAAGCTAGAGGAAGGGCAGGACTCATCCTGCACCCTTGTCTTTCTTCACCTATCACGTTCGCCCCCACCCCCAATATCCTTCCATGCAAAGTGCGGAGCAATACTGGGGTTCCCCTTCTTATTGGAAGCAACATTCCAGACAGGGACTCAGAAAAAAGCAAGACTCGCAGAACTCCTAGAAGACGCCGGATGTGACGCCACGCCGGCTACACGGGCCGTTTCCGCCCGTTCATTGCTCGCCTCCGGCGGTTGCCTAGCGACGGCGGCCAAAGTCGGGGAAAGCGGGAAAAGAGAGGGGGCAAGAAGGTGCAAGATCCTCGCCTGCAGAGCCTCCGGAGCCGTCACGGCGGCGATGAGGTCGTCGAAGCTGGTCGTGCCCACTGTGACAAAGGCGGATTTCATGGCCGGCGGAGAGGCGTCGTGACCATAGGGAAGGAAAGCTAGAGCGGAGGTCACGTAACGTCTTGGATGGCAACAACCTCCCCACGCACCAGAAAGCCGGCGCCCTTCTGAAACGAGCAGTATCTATGGTAATCCCAGTATGCTTTGCGAGGAGAGCTGAGCCGGGAAAAGTCGCCCAGAGATAGGAAAGTGTAGAGAAATGCATCTCCTTGTTTCGGTGGGTAAATTCAAGATCGTTTGGAAACCATTCTTTTAGACGCAGGTTGGCGGAGACAAAAGACGGTGGTAGGTAGCGGTTAGAGTTCCTGACTAGGAATCTTAGAGGTGAAGGGTTGGAATCCACACGGCCAGGAAATTTATTGGATGACCTTCCACCCCACTCACTGTTTCTCTTAGCTTTACCTACCTCACAAGGTTGCTGTGAGGATAACAAAGAAGAGTGGATAGAGCCATTTGGAGCTCCTTGGAGAAAAAAGAATTGGCCAGGTTTGACAGGTGAGCAGGGTTGACCACCTCTTTGGCGATCGCTCATAGCTGAGTAAGATTGTCTTCCATGAACACGGTTTTAACGATGAGTCAGTAAGTGACTGTGGAGACCAATTCTGAATCCACACGTTCCTCCACAGTGGGGACCTAGGTTTCTGGACGGGAGTTGATCATGGTGAGGGTTTGCCAAACGTGCCTTCCACTTAGCACATTTCTCCCTTGTGTCCTGAGTTTGAGCAACCATGACACCTTTGGTCAAGACTGTTCTCCAACTGGAGCGCTCGCAGGCCAGTGTTTCCCAGTTATTGGTGTTTATACTACATTTTGTTAGATTTGCCCTGAGAGAGACTTTAAACCTCTTTTGTTGACCACCACCATTACCCTTCCATTTTAAAGTTCGGAATAGAGTACAGTGGTACCTCGGGTTAAGAACTTAATTTGTTCTGGAGGTCTGTTCTTAACCTGAAACCGTTCTTAACCTGAAGCACCACTTTAGCTAATGGGGCCTCCTGCTGCCGCCGCCACACGATTTTTGTTCTCATCCTGAAGCAAAGTTCTTAACCCGAGGTACTATTTCTGGGTTAGCGGAGTCTGTAACCTGAAGCGTCCGTAACCCGAGGTACCACTGTAGTTGCTTTGGAAGACGATAATCAGGCATTCACACAACATGACCAGTCCAACGAAGTTGATGTTGAAGAATCATTACTTCAACACTGGTGATCTTTGCTTCTTCCAGTACACTGGTATTAGTTCATCTGTCTTCCCAAGTGATGTATAAAATTTTTCGGAGACACCGTTGATGGAATTTTTCAAGGAGTTGGAGATGGCGTTTATAAGTGGTCCATGTTTCACAAGCATACTGTAAGGTTGGTAGTACAATAGCTTTGTAAACAAGCATTTTGGTTTCCCTGAGAATGTCAATTGGGAGAAAGCCGCACTCACAGAGCTCAGGCGATGCTGGATTTCGGCATCAATGTCGGCCCTTGTGGAAAGATAACTGCCCTGGTAGGAGAATTGATTTTTTTTCTTTTTTTCTTTTTTAAATTTTTTTCTTTTTATTAATTTCAATTCATTACACAGACATTCAAACCCTGGTAGGAGAATTGATTGACACTTTCCAATGTTACACCACTGAGTTGGATTTGTGGCACTGCAGAGGGGTTGTTTTTGTGCTTGTCGGTGCAGCACTTTGGTTTTTTGGGATGGTGAGTGATTGGTTAAGCTTTTCATAAGTTTCTGCGAAGATATTTAAGATGGTTTGGAGGTCATCTTCTGAGTGTGCACACTACACACTACATTGTTGTCAGCATACTGAAGCTCTGTGATGGAAGTTATGGTAACCTTACCCTTTGCTTTCAGCCTATTCAGATTAAAGAGCTTTCTATCTGTTTGATATATGATTTCTACTCTGGTGGGGAGTTTCCCTTTGACATAGTGTAGGATCATGGCAATGAAAATAATAAATAGAGTTGGGGCGATAACACAACTCTGTTTAACACCTGATCCCACTGTGAATGGTTCACTTTGAGAGCCATTGTTATCTGCGATTGTTGTTGTCATATTATCATGGAGGAGCCGAATGATGTTCACAAATTTATCTGAGCAGCCAATTTTCAGAAGGACAGTCCACGGGGCATTACGATTTACAGTGTCGAAAAGCCTTAGTCAGGTCAGTAAATGCCATATACAGTGGTACCTCAGGTTACAGACGCTTCAGGTTACAAACTCCGCAAACCAGGAAGTGGTTGTTCCAGGTTAAGAACTCTGCACCAGGATAAGAATGGAAATCTCAAGCCAGCAGCGCAGCAGCAGCGGGAGGCCCCATTAGCGAAAGCACACCTCAGGTTAAGAACTGTTTCCGGTTAAGAATGGACCTCTGGAACAAATTAAGTTCTCAACCCGAGGTATCACTTGGTTTTGCTCTCTGCATTTTTCTTGAAGATGTTGTGTGGTGAAAATCATGTCCACTGTCCCCCTAGAAGGTCAAAAACCATTTTGGGATTAGGAAGGGTAGCCTCGGATATTGTTAGAAGACGGTTTGCTAAGATCCTTGCAAGAATTTTGCTGGCCGCCTCTAATAAAGAGATTCCTCAATAGTTCCCGCAGTCTATTCTATCACATTTTTAAAATAGATTTGTCAGGACTGGTCGTTGTCCTCTTCAGATCACCACAGAAACGCTTCTTGTTCTTTTATAAAACTTTTTATTGCGTATTAACAAAACATTCTTATAAACAGTTCTTAACTATTATTCCTCAGAGTCACTTCTTTCAGATACCTTCTGAGCTCTGCTTCTCCATGACCAGCCACTCTCAAAATGGCGAAGGCGCCTTTCCCTTCGCTTTCCCGCTCTTTTTTCTAACCTCCTGGCTAGAGCTGGCTTGTATCTCCCCTCCTCCGAATCTGAGCTAGAACTTAACCCTTGCCTTTCCTGTGAACAGCCGGTCCCTCCCTGTTGTTCCTCTTGCTCCCTTCTATTAGATTCACTGCTCTCCTCCCCCCCTTGGGGAATGCTTTCTCCCTCTGATAAACTGAAAACCTCTAACTCTTCCCTGACATCACCCCCTCCCCTAAGCCCCCCTTCCTCCTCCTCGCTCTCCTCTGTTTCTGAAGGACCGAACCCTATGAACTCTTCTTCCTCGCTATCTGTCTCTTCAAAAATTTCTTGAAGATGCCAGTTCTGGGGTTTTGGCTTGTGGGGATATCTTCTATGAAATTCTCTCTGCAATTCTGGAACGTTAATTTTTTCTGCTGGTTCCCATGAGTTCTCAGACTCATCTAACCCTTTCCATGCAACCAAATACTGTAATTTCCTCCTACTTATTCTCGAGTCTAATATTTCATCCACTTCGGTCTCCGCTTCACCCACCATGGTGGGAAAAGGAGGTGGTTCCCTTGAAATTTGATTCTTATGTGCTGGTACAAACACTGACAATAAAGATCTATGAAATACAGGGTGTATTCTCATATTTTCAGGCAAATGAAGCTTGAAAGCGACTGGGTTAATTTGAGCCTTTACTTGGAAAGGTCCCAATCTCCTTGGTTCTCAATCTCCTCTTGACCTGGGAATGCCCTTGGGTGCAAGCCATAGTTTGCCACAAATGGGGCTCTGCCCGTAGACACATGCATTGCATTATTATACGCAAACTCTGCTAGACTCAACTTCTCTAACCACCCGCTCTGCTGATAACCAGCATAACACCTCAGATATTGTTGTAGTGTTGCATTCGTTCTTTCAGCTTCCCCATTGGTTTGCGGGTGTCTCGCTGACGTGAGGCTTAGCTCCACATCTAGTAACTGCATTAACCTCTTCCAAAATTGTGATGTAAATTGGGCCCCTCTATCTGAAATGATTTGTGATGGCATACCATGCAACCTAAAAATATTATCTAAAAACATCTTTGCAGTTTCCTGTGCGGTCGGAATTTTGGTACATGGTATGAAATGTGCCATCTTGGTTAGCATGTCAACCACTACAAAAATCACTGTTTGCCTGTGCGATGACGGTAGATCCGTTATAAAATCCATAGACACCACATCCCAAGGCCTTCCCGGCGTGGGCATAGGTTGCAACAACCCTGCGGGAGCTGCTCTGGGTGCCTTGGCTCGTTGACATACTTCACAACCTCTTACATATTGTGTTACTTCCTCCCTCAACTTTGGCCACCAGAACTGCCGTGTGATCCGATACAGGGTCTTTTCTCTACCAAAATGTCCTGCAGTCGGGTTATCATGATGTTGCCTCAACACTTTACCTCTTAATTCACCTGCAGGTACATACAGCACCCCTCTCCTGTACAACAATCCATCTTTTTCTTTGAAACCTTCCTCTTCCCCTCTACCTTTTCTCAGTTCCTCCATTTTCTTTTGTGCAAACTCATCTGTTACTGTCAATTGCTGGAATTCCCTGCCGTCCACTACTACGGCTGCACACCCCCACTGATCCGATCTCAGCATTTCTCGCAACTTGGGAGGTGCTTCCCCTTCCATATACTCAGGTTTGCGCGATAGCGCGTCTGCACGAATGTTTTGATGCCCAGGTATGTACTCAATCCTAAAATTAAACCCAGCAAAAAACTCTGCCCACCTAATTTGCCTTTGGTTTAGCTGTCTAGCAGTTCTCCAATACTCTAAATTCTTATGATCTGTTTGTACCACCAGCTGATGTGATGCCCCTTCCAAAAAATGTCTCCACACTTTAAAGGCAGTGTGCACAGCTAAAAGTTCCTTATCAAATATGGTGTAGTTTTGTTCTGTTTGATTTAATTTTCTAGAGTAGAATGCACAGGGTCTCCAGTCCCCTTCCTTGTCCTGTTGCAGCAGAATGGCCCCAATAGCCCTGTCAGAGGCATCAGTTTCTACCTTTATACGCTTACTTGGATCTAGGTGCATAAGATATTTTTCTGAAGCAAACACCACCTTTAATTTATCAAAGGCCTTCTGTGCTTCCTCAGTCCATCTGAATGGCCCCTTGCCTCTTAGACAATCAGTTAGTGGCACTGTGATTTTGGAGTAATTACCTATGAATTTACGATAGAAATTAGCAAATCCTAAAAACCTCTGTAGATCTTTCTTAGTTTTAGGTGCCTCCCATTCCACCACTGCCTGAACTTTACTGGGGTCCATGTGCACCCCTTTGTGGGAAATGCAATATCCCAGGAACTCCACCTTTTGTGTGTGGAATTTACACTTCTCTAACTTCACATATAACCTGTTGGTCCTCAATCTCTCTAACACCTGTGTGACATGTTTTACGTGTTCCTCCATACTTTCACTATATATTAATAGGTCATCTAAATAAGAGACACAGAACTGATCCAGTATACCTGCTAAGACGTGATTGATGAAGGTTTGAAATACCCCTGAGCCATTTTGCAAGCCAAAAGGCATTACCAAGAATTCAAATGCACCATACTTAGTACAAAAACTGGTTTTCCACTCATCCCCTTCTCTGACCCTTATCAGATTATATGCTCCTCGTAGATCAAGCTTGGTAAAGACTTTGGCTGAC